CATTAAATAATAATGAGAGTTAAAGCTTTTTTAAATTATTATTTTCAAAAAAAGAAAAGAAATACATCTAATAAACTAATGAAAGACATAATATGAAATCAACTAAAATATTTAATTAATCCAAAAGAATGCAGAATAAAAAATAGGGAACAAAAACATCTGGGGCAAATAGAAAACAAACAGCAAGATGATAAATGTAAATATAAAATATGAACCCAAAGATATCAATAATTACATAAAATGTAAACGGTCTAAACATCCTAATTAGAAGGCATGATTTGCCAAATTTGGGGGGGTGGGGGGGGTGGGTTAGGGAAACCCAGAGCTAATTCCTTGCTGTTTACAATAAAAATCACCTTAAATATAAAAATACATAAGGGTAAAGTAAAATAATGGAAAAAGGTCATGCAAATCCTGAACAAAAAAACGAAAAATCTAAATACCAAGTAGATTTTAGAGCAAAAAAATATTACTAGAGATAAACACAGTCATTTCATAAGGATAAATCAGCCAATTCATCAAAAGGATATAATAATCATAAAAGTTTATACATCTAATATTGTAAATTTGAAATTGAGTTTCAAAGTACATGAAGTAAAAACTGACAGAACTAAAAGGAGAAACAGACAAATGCACAATTACGGTTAATCTCAACATTACTCACAATAATTGCTAAAACAGCCAGAAAGATCAGTAAAAATATACAAGCAACAGTATCAAACAATTTGATCTAACTGAGATTCGTAGACCACTCCACACAAAAACAGCAAAATATATATACTCGTTTTAAGTATACATAAACCTTTTACAAGGTAGATAATATTCTGGGACACAAAACAAGTTTCAATAAATTTAAAAGGAATAAAATCATATAAGGAATGTGTGACCACAATGAGACTACATTAAAAATCGATAACAGAAGTAAACTTGGAAAATCCCCAAATATTTGGAAACTAAATTACATACTTCTAAATAATCCACAGATCAAACAGAAAGTCAAAAGGTAAATTATAAAGTATTTCTAACTAAATGAAAATGTATAAACAACATGACAAAATTTGTGGATGCAGCTAAGACAAGTACTTAACAGGTTTTATAGCAATGAACACCTATACTAGAAAAGAAGGATTTCACATAAATGACTTTAAGAAACTAGAAAAACAAGAGCAAATGAAACTGAAAGTAGAAGAAAGGGAATAATAAAGTTCTGAGTGGAAATCAATGCAACAGAAAAATAGAGAAACTGATGAAACTAAAATCTAGTTCTTTGAGAACATCAATAAAATTCATAAACTTCCAGCCAGACTGAAAAGGAAAAAAAGAGAAAATACAAATGAACAAAACCAAAAATGAGAGTGGTGATATCACTACAAATTCTACACGTATTCAAAAGGGTAGTAAGTTTCTATTACGAATAAGATGATGACAATAAATTTGACAACTTAATGAAATGAACAAATTCCTTGAAAGAAACAAACAAAAGCTTACTTAACAAAAAGAAACTTTGAATAGCCATGTATCTATTAGGGAAATTAATTTTGTTAGAAATCTTATCACAAAAAAAATTCCAGGCTTCACTGGAAAATGCTACCAAAGCTTTAAGGGAAAAATATCATTAATACACAAACTTCTAGATAATAAAAGATAAATACTTCTCAACTCATTTTATGAAGCCAGCACTCCCTGATATCAAATCAGAAAAAGAAAACTACAAATCAATATCCCTCATAAACATATATACAGGGCTTTGCTGATGACACAGTGGTTAAGAATCCACCTGCCAATGCAGGGGACACGGGTTTGAGCCCTGGTCTGGGAAGATCCCGCATGCCAGGGAGCAACTAAGCCCTTGCACCACAACTACTAAGACTGTGCTCTAGAGCCTGCAAGCCACAACTACTGAGCCCATGTGTCCTAGAGCCCATGCTCTGCAACAAGAGAAGCCACCACAATGAGAAGCTCACGCACCACAACAAAGAGTAGCCCCTGCTTGACGCAACTAGAGAAAGCCCGTGTGCAGCAACAAAGACCCAACTCAGCCAAAAATAAATTTTAAAAAATAGATATAAAAATTCCTAACAGAATTTTAACAAATCAAATCTGACAACAGGTAAAACTGATAAAATATCATGACCAAGTAGAGTTAATCTTAGGAATGCAAAGTTGGTTTAACATTTGAAAATGTTGGTAAGTCATCATATTAACAAACCAAAAAAAAAAAAAAAAAAAGGAAAACTCATGATTGTTTTAATATAAAGTATCTGATAAAAATTATTTTCCAGTGGAAATTCTATTCCTGAAACTCCCACAAAAATAATAGAAAGGATCTTCACCTACCTGATTAAGGCATCCACGAATAACCTACAGATAACATAATTGTTAATGCTGAAACTCTTCCATTTTAAACTGTCTCCTCTTCTGTTACTTTGAATGAAGGGTCCATGTTCCAGGCAAAGGCTAATTCCAAAATTTATTAACTAGATACCATTCCCCTACCACTTATCATGACATTCACTCTAGCATTTCTTTTCAGCATCATCAGTTTTTCCTTCCTTACTACATCATTTCTACCTACGTTTCCCTTTCCCATCTTTAAAAAGTCTTTTGATCCCTTCCCTAC